TCTACCCCTCCAATTCTTTATCTCTCCTTTTTTCCAATCTTCCCCGTACAACATCACACCACCAAAATCAATTCAAACCCAGATGGAGGGGAGGAAGGGAAGTGGCTATGACGGCAAGGAGTAACGACGAGAGAGAAGGAAGGGAAGCGGTACGCCGCCGTCGTGTTCGCTCCGCAAGCCGCCTTCGGATCTGCTCTGCCCACTCCACAAGCCGCCGTTGAGCACGTCGCCGCCAAGATGTCAACACCAGAATCGTCGGTGGTAGATCTCCTTTCCTCTCCTCCCCTGGCTGAGGGCAACCTGCTTCAGATCGGCTCCAGTTGCAACGCCGCTCAAGGATTGGGATATCTTGACTCGGATTCTCTTCTCTAGGCAGCAACGGCGAGAGATGATAGGTGAGAGATGGTCTTTGTTGGTTGTCTGCAGAGAGAGGTGAGAGGGGTCATGGGCTAGGGTTGTGATTCATTATTTGGATTTTGGGCTCAGGAAGGTAAGTCTTTTGGGCTTGTTGGGGGACTTGGCTATGATGATTATTGGGCTGGGCAGCATATTTCGGTTTGTCGGTTCGAAATTCGGAACCTCGGTTCGGTCAAAAGAACCCTGGTTTCCGAATTTGGCACATTCTCATTCCGAATTCCGAACCGAATAACAATAATTCGGTTTCGGTTCGGTTTAAATCGGGTTCGGTCCGGTTCGGTTTGGGTTTACCAAACCGTGTGCCCACCCCTACTTCCACTGCAGCTTCAACTTGAGGTGCAACTCTTCTTGCTTCCGTGAGCACCATATGCCTTATGTAGTTCATGGGCTCTCGAACAAGGTACAAAGCGATCTGCATCCTCCTCACTTGAGTGCATGGCTATCAACATCAACAAACATGGTGCTTACCGCATGATTCAAAAATAACAATCAATTGTGGTTTTCTAATATGCGAATTAGAATTGTCTTTACCCAAATATAAGAGGAGTCCCAGCTTGCGCCATACATCCACATGCATACCCAGACTCCACTGTCAGACCTACATAAAATAAAAGCATTGCGTGATAAGAACCAAGTTGATAAGTCGTTGTTTAATATCACAAAAAAATGGGCATACTTACCGATGAAGTTGTTCTTGATCCTTTGAAGGATTTGGGTACGAAAACTCCGCAATCCTTGGTGGCGAAAATCCCGGACCTTGTTCACGATAGAGAATCTTCCACAAGGCTTGCATAAAGCTCATTTGTACAAATTAAGAAACGTTTGTACTTAGAAAGAGTTATTTACATTTTTTTGCGTTATAACGGCACAATGTCACAAATTTACCATTGTTTGAACAGATTGTAGTCGAAAGGAATTGCGGTCTTCATTTGGTTGTGGATCCAAGATATGGACTTCTTCCTTGTCCAACTTAATGACAGCCAAGTACCAATGGGCATTATCTCTCATCGGAACACACACCTACATATGCGGAAATTGTCAACACGTATTAAAAAAATAAACTGCAAACCATGTAATACTTATTAAGACAAACAGTTTACCTTGTTCACCATATTGGTTCGACTAAGGAATTTTGATTCGTATAGGTCTAATGCCATCTTGGGTGTTATTCCACATGAAATCACTAGTTCCTGCCCATGTGGTAGTTGCACAATTGAAATTTTGTCAACACAATATGATTCACGTTAAAAAAACATGTGTTGTAATTTTTTTGGTGAGAGGAAATTGTCATTAAGTATAATCGGACCACAACCTGTAGTTCAGCAGGCAGATAGCACACTCCTTTTCCGTCCTTGGAATTTGTCCACAACTCTTCTAGAGTCAAGTGGCAGGCCATCGCTGTTATAACCTAATATAACATGGACAAAAAACACTTCATGATACTATCGAGTTGTTATAAAATAATTCTACGTAGAAAGCATTGATAGTGGACAAACAAAACAAAATTTTGGAGTTCCGTTGATTACTTCAGCATCTACGAATGAGCGAGGGCTTAAGGACCACAATGACTTCCTCGTACAAGAGTTGTTAGAGGTTTTGACCAATACTTCGTCAGGTGGCAGATGGGCTAAAAATATATAGTGAGCAAGCTGGATTTGCTCATCATCGTATTCCATAGGGGTAGGTAGCTTAAACTTCAAAACAACCTGGAATAGGGGCCACAAATAAACACGAGTTGAAATGCATTCGTTATGACGGAATAACGGCAAAGAACACTTCAATGGCAAACATGGCACCTTTATTACCTTGTTAACAGAAGGTAGACAAATACTTTTTCCATTTGGCTTCTTTGGTGTGACCTCAGAGTCAGATTCATCGTCCGAAATAAAAACGATGACTGAAGCAGGAGTGGGTGGAGTGCTTACACCTTTGGGTATCCTTGGTTTCTTTGTTGGAGTCACAAATTCGGCTGTCTCCTACAATGACAGTGAACCTGCGATTAATAAATTAACTAGAATGAATTTCAATTGTAAAAAGAGCTATTATACATACCACAAGCTTGGACGTAGAGCGAGTAATTCTCCTATTTTCCATGTTGTGCCTCTAATCTAAGCTTTACTCTGTACTCAAAATCGCGGCAAAGAAGGATATGGAACCACTGCTCTACCGATGAAGGTTAATTATATATACAAGGTTAGGATAAATTGTGGCGCCATATTTTTTCCGCGGAAAAATAGTTAGGGTTTAGTCTAAGGTACATGAACTTGGGATAAACATGGGTAGATATTAAACCTAAAATTAAAAATATACTTTTTTCGATTGAATAAAGAATTGAGTGCTATTAGTAAATATTCGCTCATATTAATATTTGATCCTTCCCCATACACGTAGTACACAGCTAGAGTCAGCTGGCGTTTGGCTTTACTAAGAAAGGTTTTTCATTTTAAATATTTTCGTTATTTGTGAAAATGGTAAAGAAATCACTAAGATAAAGAACAGAAAGTTCAACTCGTTCCTACAAAAAATATAAGATATCACAAATCGTGTTATTAATGGGGATAATTATTAAGTGGCCCATTGAAGCATTAATTCGGCCATCATTCCCAGTAGGGTTTTGTAATCTACGTCCTTGGTTCCCCAAAATTTCCAGCCGTGACAATGACGTCGGAGGCAGACTCACCATTGACGTCGGAGGAAGTCCTAGTATTGACGTCGGAGGAAGTCCAAGAAAACGCTGATGCCGGAGCTAGTCACACCACCCAGGAAGATAATGTCGCCGATCTCATATTTCTACAGCCGGAAGATATTAAAAAAATGAAGTTCGATGATACAGAAGAAGCCTATGATTTCTACATGGACTACGGGTTAGTCAAAGGCTTCGACATCAGAAAATCAGACATTGGTCGTGATAAGAACAAAGTTATGATATGGCGTGACTATGTATGCTCTGGCGAGGGAAAGAGGCGCATGAAGAGCACAGAACGAAAGAGAGAAGCAAGAGGGGAGACCAGATTTAACTGCAGAGCCAAGATGCGTGTTAAACAAGACAATGTCGATGGGAAGTGGTATGTGCACCAGTTTGATGATGTACACACACATGAAACGATCCCCAGAGAATATAGACACTACATGAAAGGGAAACGTCGTATGAGTGATGCAGTCAAAGCAGCGATAAATTTTAGAAGAGCTGCAGGTATGAAAACTTCTCAAATTGTGAATCTGGCCGTATCAGAAGCAGGAGGCTACGACAATTTGGGGTACACGAGGAAGGATGCATATAATTATGTGGACAAAGATAGGAAAGAACAAATCGGTGAAGGTGATGCCGCAACAGCCCTAGCCTACCTGCAAGCTAAATGCAGCGCGGACGAGCATTTCGTTATTGAACTAAAGAAGGATGACGACGACCGGCTTATTAACATTTTCTGGGCCGATAGTATTTCTGTTGCTGATTATGCATGCTTTGGAGAATTACTGTCATTCGATGCTACTTACAAAAGGAACATTTACCATATGCCTCTCGTGATTTTTTCAGGTACTTTTCCTTCACACATAGAATTATCCCGAGCATGCTAAAATAACCCTAGAAGTTTGCATAATCTAACTTTGTTTGAACTTTTTTAGGTGTCAACCACCATTCGCAAACTTGCGTATTTGCATGTGCTTTCTTGGCTAACGAGAGAGAGGAAAATTATATTTGGGTGTTGGGAGCTTTGAAGAGAAGGCTAGGCGGTGTAGATCCCAAGACTGTTATTACAGATGGGGATAGAGCAATGCGTAATGCTATTCAGAAAGTATTTCCCGATGCAACACATCGTCTATGTTCCTGGCATATAGACAAGACTATAACCAGAAATGTGAAGAATCATCTTACTTTTTTGCCCCGATGGAAGCATTTTGTGTCAGCTGACTGGGAACCTTCAGAATTCGAAGAAAAGTGGAAATCAGTGGTTGAGGAATGCTCCCTTCAGCACAACAATTGGGTCTCCAATTTATTTGAGCAAAGACATGAATGAGGGTATGCATATTTGCGTTCGAAGTTCTTCGCAGGCTTGAGTACAACATCAAGATGTGAAGGACTGAACTCTCAACTTGCCAATTATATCGAGAAGGATAAAAATCTCCTCGAGTTCTTTATTCACTTTGATCGTTGGACTAGGGATATGAGGGAGAATGAGCGTCATGCTGATTTTGAATCCATTCATCGAGAACAAACCCTCACAAGCAATGTCTTAGTCTCACTTCAGAAGAGTGGAGCGGCGGTTTTCACAAAGAACGCATTCTTCTTATTCAGAGACGAGGTTGAAAAGTCGGCATGTTGCATAAGGTTGGAGACAGAGCGATCGGAAATTGAGCATGTGTACAAGGTCAAGGTGTCTGGCATGGATAAGGTTTTTCAAGTCACGTACGCAGTTGAACCCTTTGCAATGGAATGTAGTTGTAATCACTACAATTATATGGGAATACCATGTCGTCATATGATTTTTGTACTGAAAGAAGAGAGCATACTAGAACTTCCTGAAGGCCTAGTACGTCGAAGATGGTCAAAGAAGCCGAAGACACTAGAGAGCTTGGAGGAACCGGGCAGACTAGATGAATCGCAACTTTTCGCATTGAGGTTTGCCATGACTAACACTTTTAAATTTTTTTTTTAATATTGGTTCGAAGCTAGGTGAACATTAATTTTACTCACTTTGTATAAAATCTTGTGTCAATCAGGTATGGTACTATTCAACAACACAGCTTACAACTAATGTTAAAAGGGGCAAAATCTAGTGAGTGCTTCAAGATTGCTCGTGAGGGAATTCAATCATTATGTGAAAAGTTGGACATGGTGGACACTGGCAACGTGGACATACCCGGCATTAATAGACCGAAGGCGAATGAAATTTTGTTGGACCCATTACAAGTCAAAGCTAAAGGTTCGGGGGCTAAAAAATCTAAAAGGAAGAAAGGAGAACCACGACAGTGTAGCAATTGAGGTGAATGGCGCCACTATAGGACCTGATGCCCACATCCTGTTGGCTACGTGAAGCCAACCTCAAACGGTGATGCCCCGAATGATGGTGTTTCGGAAGAAGGTGGCGGTGGTGATGACACCGATGTTGATCCTCCCACCACTCAAGATCAGTCGGAAACAGTCCGGAAGAGAAGGCAAAAGCATTGCAGTAAGTGCGGTTCTACCAATCATAATGCAAGAACGTGTACTGGGTCTGGGCCATCCGATGATGAAAATGACGATGACGACGATTATGAGCAACCTAGGGTAAGAATAAGATATAATTGTTCGTGTCTACACAATGCAGTTGCATCCAATATTTTTGTACGTCTAAAATCGTCGTTATCGATTTTGCAGAAGAGGCCTGTTACAAGAAGTAGCAACCTAAGGATTGTTGAAAACTTGAAGTGAAGATGGACGTCCTTATCCTATTCGGATTAGGACTATGGACTATGTGAAGACTGCTAGTATCAGCTTGAAGCGGCGTCGTTTGATTTATAAGAAGACTGTTGCCGTCTGCGGTGTCGTTTTACTTGTGTGTCGTTTTATTTATGTGTCTCTTTGGTTTATAAGAAGACTACTGCCTTCTACGGTGTCGTTTTATTTAGTTCGGATGGATTTGATTGAATTCGATATGGAGGTTGCTCCCTAAATAAATCATGTGCAACATTTCAGTTGATTTATTTTTCTCACTCGTTTTTTTTATTGAATTATTAAATTGGATTTTTTACTTGTTTATAAAATTACTTAATTTTGGCTACTAAAATTATGAAATGTAATTTGGGCGTGAAATGACAAGAGCATGCGCCGACAGAGGACTTCTGAAAATGGAGGCAGTAATCAAGAAATAAACTACAGTATTTTTATTGAGTACAAATGGCAACTTTTATACTATACATATGGCAACTTTCCCCTCTTGTCTCAAACACTAAAAGTACAAATCTTGAAAAACAAAACAATTTACTTTCCCTCCTCCCACTTTTATACTATACATATGACAACTTTCCCCTCTTGTATATATTTTGGGAGCATGATCAACAAGTATGCGTCAATGTCGCCCAGAAGAACCATCATTCTTTGGGCGATATTCAAACGGCGACTTATTGTCATTGCTCCCCTCCCTGCCTCTAACAAAGACCCTTCATGGAGAGCAAAGGAGAAACAATACAACGAAGGATTTAGTTTAACAGTCATGATCTAACAATGACATAATTAAAGGAACTGAGATCTAAAATAATACGCAGTCTCATCTTTACCACTGCACCTGAAAATAAAGCATGGACAGGAGGTCGAAGAGGCGGATGGGGTTGATTTTCGGGGTTGAGAAGATAGGAGAAAGGGGTCTTTTCAGGGATTGAGAGGAGGAACGAACAACAGCAGGAGATGAGTGCCTCTTGGGTTTCGGAGCATGGTCTCTCCCTCTCTGATTAAAGAATTTATAAATGAGCTCATAAATTTACTTTGCCTTTCCAGCCCTTCCCATTTACTGAAAATCACACTCCCTACCGCTGCCTCAGCCTTGGTAACGTCAGCACTGGTTAGGGGCAAATGCGACTTTCCGAAAATGGCGATATCTGATTGGGTGACACGCCGCGGTTAGGATTGAAGCTCTTTCACCATCGGATTAAAGGAAAAGTTTAGGAATTGACGGCGGGAGATGGGGATGTGCTTTTAGACTGGCTTTATAGATTAACTAACTTTTTCGTTTACCAAAATTAATCTACTGATTGGGTACATGTAATTGTAACCCTAAACCCTAAACCCGAATCCCTAAACCCTAAACCCGAACCAATCAATACCATATACTCTACAACAATAACACCTTATAGGCTTATACCCGAACCAATCCATCCCATTGCTTATTTAGTGGAATCCTAGGTGGCACCATTATTTAGCAAGATTGCAATGCCACCTAGGATATTTTTTCTAAACTAGCAAGATTGCTAAATTAGGAATTCTTCTTGCAATGCCAAACCCTAATACACGAACCAATCAATAACATATACTCTACAACAATAACACCTTATAGGCTTATACCCTAACCAATCAATACCATATATACTCTAAACCATCAACACCTTGCTTATTTAGACCATCTCCAATGGTGCAATTCTTGAGAATTGCAAGCTGATGTGGAGAGGGAGTGAAAGTGGGATGGTGAGTTGCATTGATGTGGGATCAATTACAAAAGTTGCAAATTTGCATCTGATGAATGTTTTCATGCAGTTGCAAATTTTCATGCAGCACACACATATATACAATTCCAATCATAATACTTTACATAATTCGAATAACACAACGACAAAAAACAACTTGAGAGAAAACTCAAATTAATATAACACACTCACCAATTAATATTGAATTGCATTGAAAATTAAGTAGGACCCACGGTCACAATTGATGTATAGTTAAAGTTGCTGAAGTGGCAATTGGGACCATATATTTGCTCGGTGTTGGAAACTTGAACTGAAACTGGAAGTCCTCCTATGCCGAGTCGTTTGGTATATAAGAAGACTGTTGGCTCTTGCGGTGTCGTTTAATTTATGCACTCATTAATGGTCAGTTGAAGGCAATTTTTAAGCACTCTAAATAAATCATGTGCAACATTTCAGTTGAATAATCTTGAGAACTAGTTTTTTTTATTCAATTATTATATCGTATTTTTTGCACTAATTTTGAGCACTCATTAAATGGGTAGAGCAATTGGCGACAGAGGAGCAGAGTTCGAAATCCGGCAAAAAAATCCGGTTGGCCCAATCGTAAAGACTTCTAAAAATGGAGTCAGTAGTCAACAAATAAAGTACAGTATTTTTATTGGGAGTGTAGGATCCCCTGCAGATTTAGAAGATCTCAAACGCTAATAGTACAAAGTACAGTATTTTTATTGGGAGTGTAGGATCCCCTGCAGATTTAGAAGATCTCAAACGCTAATAGTACAAAGTACAGTATTTTTATTGGGAGTGGAGGATCCCTCGCAGATTTAGAAGATCTCAAACACTTTTGGAAGCCGCCATGGAAGCGAAGAGAGAAGCAGAAGAAAAAATAACAAAACAGTATACAAATATAAACAAATGTTACATATAGTCCAACAAAAACAAAAAAGTTGTACTTTCCCTCCCTATTTTATCCTATTATACATATGGCAACTTTCCTATCTTGTATACATTTTGGGAGCATGATCAACAAGTACGCGTCAATATCGCCCAAAAGAATCACCACATGAAGTAGGGTTCCACAACACCTATTATGGAATCGCAAAAAAATGATATGATTCTTTCGGCGATATTCAGACGGCGACTTATTGTCATTGCTCCCCTCCCTGCCTCTAACAAAGACCCTGCATGGAGAGAAAAGGAGAAACAATACAACGAAGGATTTAGTTTAACAGTCATGATCTAACAATGACATAATGAAAGGAAATGATATCTAAAATAATACGCAGTCTCATCATTACCACTGCACCCGAAAATAAAGCATGGGATAGGAGGACGAAGAGGCGGATGGGGTTGATTTTCGGAGTTTTATATTGAGAAGATGGAAGAAAGGGTTCTTTTCAGGGATTGAGAGGAGGAGGAACGAACAGCAGCAGGAGATGAGTGCCACTCGGGTTTCGGAGCACGGTCTCTCCTTCACTGATTAACGAATTTATAGATTGACTCGTAATTACTTTTACTTTCCCTCCCTTCACATTTACTGAAAATTATACTCCCTACCACTGCCTCGGCCTTGGTAATGCCAACATTGGTTATGGGCAAAAGCGACTTTCCGAATTCGGCAATATCTGATTGGGTGACACGCACGCGACAAGGATCGAAGGTATTTCACCATCGGATTAAGGGAAAAGTTTAGGAATTGACGGTGGGAAATGGGGATGTACTTTTATAAATAGTCTGAATTTGTAGATTAACTAACTTTTTCGTTTACCAACATTACTCTATTGATCTGGTTTATGTTATTCTAACTTGAATCATAACCCTGAACCCTAAACCCTAAACCCTAAACCAAACCCTAATACACGAACCAATCAATACCATATACTATACAACAATAACAACACCTTATAGGCTTATACCGTAACCAATCAATAACATATATACTTTAAACCATCAACACCTTGCTCCTCCCTTATACCATAACCTTCAAGACCTTATACTGTATACCAACAACACCTTCTTCTATCTCCATCCCCAACTTTCAATTTATAATAAGTGTTTCCTTTGAAATATAAAATGGAACCCACCTTGGCAATTGCTAGCATAATTTAGGGATGTAGATGAATAGAAATTGTTAAGTGATGAATTGCTAAAATTGATGATGTGGCGGTAGGGACCTCGTTTAGAAATTGTTGTTCAATTTTAGGGATGAAGATGATCAATACACTAACCCAATATCATATACTCTAAACCATCAACACCTTATACAATATCGTATTTTAGGGATGGAGATGATCAATACACTAACCCAATACCATGTACTCTAAACCATCAACACCTTATACAATATCGTATACCTATACGCTGATAAATTAAAATTATAACTTGCTTTTCAAAACATAAATTAAAAATTGATACTCACTAAGTATCGAACCACAAACCTCTACTTTATTGACTAAGCAAATAACAGACAATTAACCAATTAAGCTACAACACATTGATGACCATCTTGCATAATTTCGCTTTCTTATTAAGTGAAGGGTTAAAATGAACGATAAATATATCACAGGGGATTGTTTCAACTTTGGCGGGGACTGAGAGAGTGGAAAAGGGGTAATTATTCTACCAAAAAAGAAAAGAAAAGGGGGAATTAACGAAGAGTTAAATTGGACGGATTGTCTTTAGCACGCCACTACCACCCAAAATCCTTCGGAGCAAAGACATGTTGGTTCAAGTCAAAGAATAAAT